CACACGTTGGATGCTCAGTAAGTGTGTGGTTTTTTTTTTTTTTTTTTTTTTTTTTCTGTCTTTTTTGAGACAGGGTCTCACTATGCAATTCAGGCTGGCCTTGAGCTCACTTTGTAGCCCACGCTGGCCTTGAATTCACAGTGATCCTCCTGCCTCAGCCTCCAGAGTGTTCTACTCAGAGTTACCAACAGATTTGGCTGACAACATTAAACAAGTCTCAGGGTCTGTAGCCACCCTCTGAAACCAAATCAACTCCCTGGCAGCGGTTGTGCTCCAATACCACAGGGCACTGGATATAATAACTTTTTAGGGAGTAAAAATTTTATCTTGGGGTCTAAAGAAGAACAAAAAAGTATATGTCCTGGCCAGTGCCATTTTGAGGATTCTGGATATCTGTCATGCACCACCACGCCTAGTGTGTCTGTGCTTTGTAAACTGTGCATGTTCATCTATACTTCTCTCTTAAACATCCTCTCCTGCACACAAACACACGCACACTGCCAAATATTTGGTGTCTCCCTGTTTACCACCATACCTCTTCTTCCCACGCTGTCTCATTTCTCCCCTCCCTCCTCCACCCTTATCACTATTCTCTCATCTGACCTCTCTTCCAAGGGGTACTATCTGCAGAAGGCTTGGCATATGTGTACTGTGCAGGAGGCTTGGCACCCCAGCACCTACTCTGGGGTATGCATACAGCAGGAAGTCAATCATGATGCTAACTCATTGGAATGACTTTTTTTTTTTTTTTTTTTTGGAGACAAGGTCTTTCTATGTAGTTCAAGCTGACCTCAAGCTCAAGGTGATCCTCTTGCCTCAGCCTCCCGAGTGCTTCAGCTCCCGAGGCCTGTGCCACTATGCCCAACTCCTTGGCATGATTTCTGGCTAACAGCTGAGATTTCTAAGCTTGGAAACCCCTTCCCTCAGTCACTGCTGGTACACACACACACCTGCAGTCTGAGGCAGCAAGATTGTTGTAAGTTTGAAGCCAATCTGGGCTACATAGTGAGTTCAAGGCCAGCCCAAACTACATAGCAAGACCCTGTCTCAAAAAACAAGCAAACAAAAAAAGAATCTTACACAAAGTATGTATGATGCACATGCTCCTCCCAGGCCCTCTGCATGGGCATGTGTGCACGCATGCACACACACACCCCTGCCTTTGACTTTCCCTCTGCCTCAAACCCTCCATCTTCGCTCACCCCCCTCACCCTTCACACCCTTCAGACCTGAGCGTAGGAATAGTGTCCTCCAAGAAGCCTTCCTGACCTTGCTGAGGGACTGAGGCTGATCCCTCAGTATTGCTGGGCTGACTGGCGTTTGCCCCTTTGCTAGTATTCGGCCCAGTGTTGAAAGCCACTTTACACGTTCTGCATGGACAGCAGACTGAAAGCTCTCCCAGGAAGGGAGCTGTGTCCCTCCAAAGCCAGCCTAAGAAGGATAAACTGGAGACCTTTCTTCATAGGTAAGTGGATACAACTCGAGACCATTCTTATCAGTAAAATAACCCAGATGCCAATGTGTAAACATCGTATTGTCTCCCAAATGTGAGAAGCTGACAGTAAATGAGATCCAAAGCCAGCCCAGAGGAGGCAATCCATACAGGCTTGTTGAGTGAGCCACTGAATGAATAAAAGGAGAAAAGGCTGGTGTGGTGGGACATGCCTATAATCCCAGCCCTCTGGGAGGCTGAGGCAGGAGGATCACAAATTCAAGTCTAGCCTGGGCAGATTAACGATTTAGGGAGACCTTGACTCAGAATAAAAAATAAAGCCAGGAGTGGTGCCACACGCCTGTAATTCCAGCACTGGGAAGGCTGAGGCAAGAGGATCACTGCAAGTTCGAGGCCAGCCTGGGCTACATAGTGAGTTCAAGGCCAGAAAGACCCTGTCTCAAAAAAAAAAAAAAAAAAAAGGCCGTGAATTTATCTCAGTGTGAATGAGCTAGGTGAAATCCCCAGTACCATACACACAGGAAAAAACTGACCATGTGATTCTCAACAAGTAACTCCATCTTTGGCCCTCAGTTTCCTCATCCATAAAGTAGGAACAGGAAAGAATATATACTGGTAAATATTTAGCAATCAGTTGGGTGGTACAGCCTATAATCCCAGCACTCAGGAGGTCGAAGCAAGAGGGTTGCAAGTTTGAGGTTTGCCTGGGCTACAGAATGAGACTCTGTTTAAAAAAAAAAAAAAAAGAAAGAAAGAAAGAAAGCCAAAGCCATCCATGGTAGCACACATCTGCAATCCTAGCACCCAGGAGGCTGAGTAGAAGGATCGCCATGAGTTTAAGGCCAGCGTGGATTATATAATGAGACCCTGTCTCAAAACAAACAAAAAAGTTTAATAACCAAGAGCAAAAAAGTTCTGGTGATTGCCAATGCCCGTGGTGTAAACTCGCACCACAGCTGATTTCACTGTGCACAGTGCCCTGTCACTAGCAGGTTCACTAGCAGGTACCAGCTACCCCCAGGCCACTGCTGTAGGTGAGGTGGCTTGGGCCAGGTGGTCCCCGAGGTCCCTTCCAGCTCCAACATTTCTGGACTAGATCTCAGAAGCCTGGGGGTCAGAAGTCAGGTGCTGTACACTCTCAGTACCTCCCCAGGTCTCCAGATATTTCTTATATGCAGCCCCAGGAGTTGGAGGGGTGCCTGTGCCCCATTACCAGTATCCTGGGGCACATCCATGCCCTTCACGTTGTTACCGGATGCATCTCTCCCAGGCAGCCTGCACACGCTGTGCACAGCCTGCTGCTGGCAGCTGGCCCACGTCCTGGGGTTCCAACCTGTGTGGAGGGACCATTCCTCCAGCCTCCCTGAGCTGGGCCTCACCTCACCACACTGCCCAGGGCTCTCCTTGCGCTTCTGACCTCTGAATCTGCTGGTGTCCCCCTCAGAATTCTTTATTCCGCCTCACTGGGTGCTCCTTTTTGGCCTCCTTTGCCTGTCTTTCTTTCTCTGTCTACACCACAGCCAACGGTTTTCAGGCCTGGTGTGTCCTTTCTTCTTCCATTCTGCCTCCTATTCAAGCAGGAGCCTGCAGGTGGGTGGGGTGCCTCCTACCTGTGAGCCCTCTGCAAATTACTGAGCATCTCTGAACCTGTTTTCCCCAGCTATAAAATGAAGGTAATAATAGCAATTACCTCACAGGATTGTTGTGTGATTAGTGGGAAGAAGCATGTAAAGTACTGACATAGTGTCTAGTATGCAGAAGGTGCTTAATAAATGTGGAGTGTTATTGTTCAGGACTCAGCTTAATCATCCCTTCCTCAGGGAGGCCTGCTCCCAACCGCCAGGGGTAGGGCTCTGCTCTCTGGCATGCTGACTTCCTTTTGGGGGTGCTGGCTATTCTGTTTATCCTAGGAGGTCAAGAGGCTGGATTTGTTTTGTTTCTGGTACTGGGAATCGAACTCAGGACCTTGCGCTTGCCAGGTAGGCTCTTATGCCACTGAGTTGTATCCCCAGCAAGAGACTGTATTAAGGAAATGCTTAATATGGGTGTGGTGGCGCACACATATAATCCCAGCACTCTGGGAGGCTGAGGCAGGAGGATTGGTGGGAGTTCGAGGCCAGCCTGGGCTACAAAGTGAGTTCAAGGCCAGTCTGAACTGCATGGTGAAACCTTGTCTCAAAAAGGAGGGGGAAAAAAAAGGAAATGCTTGTGAATGAATGAATGAACGAACGGGGAGGATGATTGTCCGTCCAGGGTTTGCCACCGCCCTGGACTAGCCTGGACACGCCCACCGGCGGGAGATGACGAGGCTGGTCCTATACCTGCCAGCAGGTGGCACCCGCGCCCGCTCGTCTCTTCCCGTGGCCACCTCCCTTGCCCTTGCTCCTGTCAAGCAGGCGCAGTGGGGTTCCAGTAGCGCGCGACAGATGGGGTTCAGGCCCCAGGGGGCGGCCGGGGCTGACTCCATCACCCACCGGGGAAGGTGCTTTTCTACCGGGTGCCCAGCTGAACTTGGCAGGGAAGGGAGTGGGGCCCGAAAGGTTGGGGCTGCAGACTTCTGAGAGTCTCGATGCAACTGCCGTCCTCTTGGGGACATAAACGAGAGGCAGTTAAATCAATCAATGAGTCAAAAGCTGAGATCTAGGAACCACATACAGCGTGGGAGAAGATGCGGTGAAATCAATCAGGAAGGGGAGGCCCCGTTTCCATGGCAATGATAATGTTTGTGGCGTGCAGGGGACTCCTGGGTCCCCAGGGCTGTGAACAGTGATTCACCACAGGAAAGGGAAGGCTGCCTAGAGACCTGTGCCGGGGCCACATGCCCTCTGGCTCCTGAGCACTCCCCAGCTCCCCGAACCTAGCCCAGGGCCTCTGCTCCTCCGGTGCAGGGAGAGGGGCTGCCATGCGGCCAGGGCCAGCCCCACGTGCCCCTGCGCCTCTCACTTGTCGGTCACAGCAGCCGCACCCAGTTCGCACTGTTCCTGCTATATTTTATTTTTTAAATTCTTATTTATTTATTTTTGAGACAAGATCTTGCTATGTAGTTCAGGCTAGCTTTGAACTCACTAAGTATCACAGGCTGGCCTCAAACTTGTGGTGTGCGCCCCCACGCCTGGCCAGACTTTTTTTTTAAAATTAGTACGTGTTTGCAGTGTGTGATAATTGCATTCATGGCAGGGAGTTGGTACATGTACATAACACATCTTAATTCTTTTAACTTCCCCTTCCCCTCCCTTCTCTCCTCTCTCCCTCCATCGCTTTTATTTATTTTGAAATTTTATTTGTCTGTGGTATTGGGGATTGAACCCAGGAAGCACTGAGCTATATCCCAAGCTCCTTTTAATTTTATTTTGAGAGGGGTCTTAATATGTTGCCCAGGGTGGCTTTGAACTTTGTGATCTTCCTCCCGTAGCTTTCCCCCCCACCCCGTACCAGGAATCGAACTCATGACCTTGCACTTTACAAGCAGGCCCTGTGCCGCTGAGTTAAATCCCCAGCCCTTTTTTTTTTTTTTTTTTTTTTTTTGGTTTTTTTTCATAGCCTTTTGAATAGTTGGGATGACAGGTGTTTGCCAACACATTCTGCTTATTCCTATTTTATAGAAGAGAAAACCGGCGCCCTGGGACATGCTAGTGTAGGCAGGACATGAGTGACAGAGCCAAGATTAGAACCCAGGGGAGTTGACTCTTAACTGTGCTTGGGAAGACCTAGAGAGCAGAGAAGTCTGAACAGGGGCATGGAAGTTAGTGTGGCTGAGGCCCAGGAAGACGTGGATGGGAAGGGACCCCTCCAACTCCCGGCCATCCTTGCCTGCCTGCTATGTGAGCGCCCAACACAGATAGGGTCAGGGGATGGCAAACCCATGGCCTGGCATGGGCCAGAATCTGCATCCAGTCTACTTCTTACTTTTCCTCCAAGCCCCAGAAAGCAGACCTCAAGTCCAGGCCGTTCAACATCGTCAGATCCTAGGGGCAGGAGTGTGTGTATGACCACCAGGTCTGCACACCCCCCACCTCCGCCCCCTGTCTCTGTCAGGACAGTTTCATTCTTGTTCAGCAGTGGGCCCCACAGTTTCAGAACAAAGGGGTATACCCATCACCCCCAGGCCTTGATGGCACGCAACAGAGAAGCCCAGCCCTTCTCCCTCTCTGCCAGCAGCGGAAGGGACGGATGTGGGCGGAGACTAACAAATCTTCCAATCTGGTTTCCTTGTTTTGCAGGTGTAGAAACAGGCCTGCAGAAAAGAAATAATCTTTTCAAGGATACAGAGTTAGTTAATGAAAGAGAAAACAAGATTTTCTGCGGTCTCCAGGGTCTGTGCTCCCAGAAAGGGGTTCTAGCCGGGTGTGGTGGTGCATGCCTGTAATCCCAGCACTCGGGAGGCTGAGGCAGGAGGATCACTGCAAGTTCGAGACCGGCCTGGGCTACAAAGTGAGCTCAAGCCCTTCCTGAACTGCATAGCAGGACCCTGTCTCAAAAAAACAAAACAAAAAAAAAAAACCATAAAGGGCTTCTTGCTAAGGATAGAACCCAGGTCTCCTCTGCCGCTGAGCTACACCTTTCTGGCTACACCTCCACCCAGAAAGGACTTGTTGGATTTCATAGAGCTGTGTTCTTGGTAGTGGAGGTAGCCATTAGATTAAATGGGATGGCCTAGCATAGTGTAGGCTGAGGAAAGAAGGTACAAAGTTCATGTCCCACCTATGAACCGTGTTCTACCAGGAATCACAGAGGTGAGGTGTCTGAAGGACTTAATGTATGTCAGGAACATAACACCTGTGTGACCTTAGGCAAATCACTGACCCTCTCTGAGCCCTTTCAAGTCTGTGCTCCTACCTCCAGACTTGAAGTAGGGGCAAGTACTTGGCCAACAGGGTGGTGATAGGAGTGTTGATGGTTGCCAGGGAAGGCCAGTCTTGTCGAGTGGACTGGGAGGTAGCTGCCTGTGGTATAAAACGGGGGCAAGGGTTAAACCAAGGTGCTCAACCCTTGCCCTTGGGAGAGCAAGAGAGAAACGTGAATTTTAAGCTGCTCTGTACCTGCAGCACTTCTCTTCCCTGGGGCTGGCAGAGGTGGGCAGCAGGTCCCTGCAGACCCTAGGGTACTCCGAAGCTATGGGAAGCTGCACTCTAATTAGCACTGGCTCCCTAATTGAGCTTAATTGCCTCCTTGTGATGGCAATTAGAGACTGCATCAATTAGCACTGGGAGGGGATGGCTCAGCAGGGGCTGGTCAGGGCCCCTTGGGGGGCACAGAGGTCGGTGGCCCCATGGGGACACTGCCCAGCCGGAGCCTTTCCCCTGGGGCAGGGCTGGGGGCCTCTAGGCCTTCCCATGGACCACAGCCTCTCTGACTTCTGCCCAGCGAAAACCTGGATTCCGGGCCTGGATCCAGCTCTACCACCGGCTCATTGGCAAGCCTGGGTTTGACAGCTCTGGGGTCGAAGCTGACAGAGAAGGTGGGCTCTGTGGCCAGGTCTCTAGGGCTGTGTCGCTGCCTCACCATGTGTGGGTTGTGTGATCCTGGACCTGTCTTGCCGCTTCTCACCTGAACCCTGGAGCTGATGACGTCCCTGCCCTGCGGGCTGATGGGCAGGATCTGGTGAATTTGTGCTGTTTAGAGCCAGGCCTGGCACTGGAAACCCTTTGTAGGTGTTAGCGGCATTGTAGTTCCCACTCCATGTGCAGCTGCTTTCTTGTAGAATGACAGGTGGAAGTGCTTTCCACTGAAAAATTTCCACCTCCCCTCAAACCAATCACTTAATCAAAATATCCGAGACTTTGGGCTACTGACAAGGGTGGGGTGTGTGTGTGTGTGTGTGTGTGGGTGTGTGTGGTGCTGGGGATGGAACACATACTTTTCCACTAAGATCCCACCCCACTGGCCATTTTGAAAGCCCCCACCCAGCCAGGTGTGGTGGCACAGGACTGTAATCTCAGCACACTGGGAGGCTGAGGCAGGATCACTAGATTGAGCCTGGCCGGGGCAGCTTCGTAAGACCCCAAGCAATGATGCCCACTGAGGGTTGAGACCCCTGGACAGATGGCCCTGATGGGTTCCCCCATTGTAGCACAACTCCTCCTGTCCTGGGCCACACACGGCCGCCACCACCCCCAGGCCCCCGAGGGGCTGCAGTTTGGACAGGAGCCCATCACCACGTGTGCGGCCGGAAGCAGGTCCCTGCCCACTCACTCGATTAGAGTGTCATTACAAGGAGAATAATAACCTGGACATACTTACCTCCCAGGGCTACCCAGAGACTATGTTTTACTACTGATAGGACCTGTTATAAAAGTGGCAATTACGTTGTTCCTTCCTGTGATAAACATTTACGGAGGGCCTGGTGTACACCTTGTCTCCTATACCCACCGTGATTGTGGAATTAAAGTCTCCTGGAGAGCACACCTGTAATCTCAGCACTCTGGGAGGCCAAGGCAGGAGGACTGCAGGTTCAAGCCCACCTTGGGTAATTTAGCAAGATGCTCTCGCAAATTAAAACATAAAAAATCGCGGTGGGGATGTAGCTCAGGACGAGGGCCCTGGGTTCAATTGATCCCTAGTACTGAGGAAAACAAAACAAAACGAACCTAGAGAGCTCCAATCTGACCTATCAGACAAGCTGGGGCCTGTGGTCAACCTTCATTTTTTTAAGCTCCTGCTGGGAATCAGGTGAAGCAGTGGTGGAAAGAGCCTGGAACAGGCCCTGACACAGAGTAGCTGTCGCGGGACCTTACTGTGAATGCCTGAGGCTAGGTGAGCGCGGCCCTCAGGGTGCACATGTCATGCAGAACACAGGTGGGCCAGGCCCGGGGAAGGTGATGCTCCAGGCAGATGGAGAAAATGAGGGCGAGGGTAAGCACTTTGAAGGTGCTGGTTCATGAAAAAACTATGAGGAGAATGCTCGGCCCAGACATGTACTGACAGCCAGACATGGTGGTGCCTGCCTGTAATTCCAGAAGTCTGGGGGGCTGAGGCAGGAGCATTGCAAGTTTGAGTCCAGCCTGCGCAACTTAGCAACTTAGTGAGACCCTGTCTCAGAATAAAGCTAAAGCTGGGGATATAGCTCAGCGGCTGTTATGGTTTATGTCTGGGTGTTCCCCCAAAGCCTCATGCGACCATGGGGCAGGCTTTTAGAGTTTGATTGATTATGGGTGTGAGAGCTACACCCACCCTGGGGTGGATAGTTTGCATATGTAAGGGAGAG